GGAGACGTGAAGCTGAGACAATGAGGAGAAATGGGGTGTGAGATCTTTTATAGGGCACCCAGTGTTTTTCCTCCGGAAACAAGGTGAGCTCCCACTGGAGGGACTTGATTGTTCACCACCCCGAGCGCTTTCCTAATTGGAGAGTTTTTACACTGCTGTTTTGACTCATGGTATTATGAGCAGATCAATATCCCGCCTTTGAGATTTCCATTCCTCTCGTTACTTCATGAAAATGTTAATTGCCCACCGCGCCTGGTGTGGTTCATGTGCAGGGATGGAGAGGTTTCTGAAGGGTCTTGTTGCCTTTGCTTCTTGTGCCTAATGCAAAGCAGCCATGAGCCCAAGTTGGCAACGTAAAAGTGTTAATGGATTGAAAGATAGGATGCTGGGATGGACTGGTGGACTGGGTTGCAAAGGGATCCAGAAAATAAAAGGGGCTTGAAAGAGAACAAATAAAGCCACAATGGCATGTAGGAAAAATGAGTGCGTTTGGGCAGCTTGGGAAAAAAATCTAGGTTGTGAGTGGGCGAAGGAGACAAAGGGAATTAAGGATGCAGGTATGAGCACACGATGGGGTGGCAGAAGGTGAGCACAGAGCCTGGGGCTGGTCTATGTGGGGGGTGCCCTGAAAACAAGGAGTGTGAGCATCCTCCACCGAGCCCCGGGGGCCAGCGTTGGCCGTCCGCCTCCACCGGGGTGATGGGGCTTGGCCCTGGTGGGTTACCAAAGGAGTGTAGTTGCCTCTAAGCTCTAAAGCTGTGACCGAGGTTTGGGTTTGGGGTTTAGAGGTGGGAGATGGCGATGCAAGACTTTGAAGCAAATGCCTGCTGGATGCGTCCAGTTGGAATGGCGGGAGTGGGCAAACGCAGGTGGGACATGGCTGGGAGTATCATCAAAAAGAAACTTATTTCTGAGTAAAACAGCAAAGAAGCACTAAAAGGAGTGTTGCAATATATCAAGTCAGTTCTTTCTTTGCTTAAAGAGAGGCTTTTAACCCAAACAGAAGGAATTTAAAGCCCTGTAGGAGGCAGAGAGCATCCAAGCAGAAGGCTGGGAAGGACAAAAGGTCCCATCCCCATGATACTTGTTCCAAATATCTACTATTGGTTACATTTATTACACTTTAATCGGAGAAAAAAGTAGGGAGGAAAGTGTTGTGACTTTTTGAGCTCCTTCCTCCCTCTGCACCTCCATCCTCGTATGTACTTTGGGGAGGCCATCGGGATCCGTGTCTCTGTTGATTTAACGCTCTGCTTTGGGCAAAAAAGTGTCTTTCTGCCTACAGAGTGCACCAGGCCTGATCTCACCGAGGACTCTAGAGGCCACTGTAATATTAATAACAGCACAGATCGAATTAAAATAAAATACAGAGTCAAGGAGATTCATTGCTAACCAATGGAGCTGAATCACTTGAACGAATTGATAGATGAGGAAATCAGAACGTGTCTGGGGATATTTCACAAACGTCAGAAGAACAAAAATTCTTGTGAAACTATTATTCACAATTCACTAATTACACCCCACGTCACGTGGATGGTGACAAACATGTTTATCATTTCTCCCGGCGACAGAGACATCCACCAGAGCACGGCATGCTCATGAGCACCAGAGACCTGGACCTGTGTTTGGGAGAGAACAGCACAGCCCGTGGGGTGGGAATTTGGGCTGCCCCAGGGCTGGGCCAGACCACCGAGCTGTGCTTGGGGCAGGGACTGAGTCCTCTGCAATGCACGTTGGCATCAGCCTCTGCACATGGTCAAGGAAGAGGTTGGCGAGGAAGGCTTGCTGCAGTGTCAGGGCAGAGCATGTCGGCAGCCCCCGTGCCTCCACCTATAAAAGTTCTATCCCAGGAAGGGGCACCTTGTGCCTGTTTTTATTTCTTTCCCTTATCCAGATTGTGCTGCAGGAGAAATCTCCGCCATTAATGTTGCAAAGCGGCTTGTTCTGCGATGTGTCACATCCTGCAGGCTGGGCCAGGCAGGACACCGGGAGATGGAGGTGATGGAGACTCTTGCCTGGGCTGGGTGAGGTGTGAGGAGCCACTGGGGACATGATGCTGTGAGTCACTGACTCCAGATCCATGCTTTGGTGCAACAAGCCTCCCAGGTGATTCCCCTTCTAACCCCACCAGGCCATATCTTACAAGGAGTTTGGGGCCTTTTTCTCCTTTAGAGAGAGCAGGTCCAGCCAGGTGCACCCCTGAAGTCTACAAACCTGTTTCTAATTTCTGTTTGACATGTATTCCTGGCCAGATGATCCCTATTTCTCCTTGGGTCAAAGTCTTCAGCTCTGAGAAGTCTCACCCCTCCATTTTTCCCCCACATCTCTCAGCCATCAGAGCGGCACTGAGCATCACTGAGCACCAGCTGCTGAAGACATGTGGGTCCTGCCTCACCTCCTTTGGGGTGAGACAAGATCTGTCATCCTTGGGATCTCTGAAGGTCTAACGGACCAATGTCCAAAGCATTTCTTTTCCACCAGCCTTGGCATCTCCTCTTGTTCTGCACTAGCTGTGCCAATCCTGTTCTTGAATCCTCTTCCTGACTTTTTTTTCCCAGGGCTTTTTCTGGAGGCTTCTGATGCAAATCAAACTGTACCCATTGCCTTGTCAGTGAATGAAATGATGTGCCAAGCAGAGCCTCTCATTTTTACCTCTCAGATGAAATGTGTGGGGTTTTTTTTTACATTAGTATATTAGTATTTAATTGCTGGGTTGCATAAAGAGTCTGTGATGAAAACTGTTAGTTCCTTCTCAACAAGGAAGTTGTCTGGAGTACAAATAAAGAGAAACCAGGTTGAATCAACCAGGAACCTCGGTGTGAGGGTGAATGGGGATGCTGCAACCCCCAGATTTGCCCACAAGAAGGGACAGAAACAATTCAAAGGGATGAAGTGGAAAACACTGATGCAAGTGGGTTATGAACCATAATTTTTTATTGCCTCCACTTTTGCTGTGAAATAAGGAGGTGAATAGCACTTAATATTTCACAGAGACAGTGGGTTACGCCTTCAAAGCACGTTACAAGCAAAATAACAGGAAGAGTGGAGATCCGTGAGCAACACGGGACATGCCGACCATCAGGGCAATGTTGCAAGAGTGAGAGTCCCATTCATCCCCACTCCTTGTGTCCTCTACTTTATCTTCCGGGCTGGCACTTTGCAGACCTGCTTTTGCTGCTGGCTTGGGATGCACTTTGCCACGGGCACGCAGCCTTGCTGCACCGGAGGGGGACAGGTCTGCACCGGGCAGCACTGTGGGACGCACTGCACTGGTTTGCTGTAGCACGGCTTCCCCCCTTGGTACCCTGATCCGTGGCACGTCTCAGAGCAGACTGACCTCCCATAGCTGTGGCATCCCCCCGATGACCCATAGCTGTATGTGGGTCTCCTGACACAGCTCGAACCACCTCCGTGGCATGAACCTGAGGACCCTTGGCATCTCTCAGAGCAGACCGACCTCCCGTAGCTGTGGCATCCCCCCGATGACCCGTAGCTGTACGTGGGTCTCCTGACACAGCTCGATCCCCCGCCTCCATGGCACGAATCAGCAGTAGCATAGCCGTGGCATCTCTCGGAGCAGACTGGTTGCCGATAGCCGTAATGACGGTAGTTGTGACCTCTCATGCCTTCAACGCCTTCGCCGTCGCACCCTGAGGAGCAGGTGTTGTAGCCGTAGTGGAAGGGAGTGCGCCGGGTGTCCAGCCAGGACCCCGAGGGATCATACCAGCTTGAGTTCATGTTGAAGTATGATTCTCTTCCAGAAGAGTATATCATGTTTGAGTTGTAGGGA